CTCTCTACGAGATCTGAGGGGGGGCCTTCTCTAGAGAGCGGAAGGGGGGGCCCTTCTCTACGAGATCGGAAGGGGGGGCCCTTCTCTACGAGATCTGAAGGGGGGGGCCCTTCTCTAGAGATCTGAAGGGAGGGCCTTCTCTACGAGATCTGAGGGGGGGGCCCTCTCTACGAGATCTGAAGGGGGGGCCTTCTCTATGAGATCTGAAGGGGGGCCATTCTCTACGAGATCTGAAGGGGGGGCCCTTCTCTACGAGATCTGAAGGGAGGGCCCTTCTCTACAAGATCTGAAGGGGGGCCCCTTCTCTACGACATCTGAAGGGGGGCCCTTCTCTACGAGATCTGAAGGGGGGGCCCTTCTCTACGAGATCTGAATGGGGGGGCCCTTCTCTAGAGATCTGAAGGGGGGCCTTCTCTACGAGATCTGAAGGGGGGCCCTTCTCTAGAGATCTGAAGGGGATGCCCTTCTCTACGAGATCTGAAGGGGGGGCCCTTCTCTACGGGATCTGAAGGGGGGGACTTCTCTAGAGATCTGAAGGGAATGCCCTTCTCTACGAGATCTGAAGGGGGGGCCCTTCTCTACGGGATCTGAAGAGGTCAGTTCTAGGGCCACATTCTGCCCACTGACACTAAAATACGGAGTGAGGAAACGAGGACGTGAGCGGCGGGAGGCAGATGGAAGTGTCTCCTCTGCACCGGATTGTGGATGAATAATTTAGCGGCACTTTAAATGAGGGGAAAGCTGCTTCGGTGGTGAGCGAGGCCGCACATCTCCTTCCTCTCGGATCAGTGTTACCCATCGGCGGCGGGTCTGGGGAGACCAAACCATTTCCTGTAAATGCTCTCTTACAGAAAAACAAATGGCAATTAGAGGCACAAATGAAGGGGGTGCTGACTTTAAAGTGCTCCGTCTTTACAGCTCCTTAAGCCTGCGAAATGTGCAAACATGTTAAGTGTTTTCCAAATGGTTAAAAAAAAAGAAAAAGTAATCTATATATTGGAGAGAAATGCAGCTAATGGTAAATATGCTACAAAATGGATAGTTTGCCTTTTCTGATCCCCCACCCCCCATGTAATGCCCTGATTATCCATAGTTACCCCCCTTTAAGACAATGCACAGTCCTCTCCCATGGCTGTTTGCGTACAAATCCCCGAACAACTGATGCAACTCGCCTTGTCTGTGTTAGCTATGGAGAAGCTCTGCACTTTGTCCCGCAGATCTGTATCTGAAATCTGCGGAAGGGACTCCGGAGAAATCTCATCTCACAACTTGGTGTTTTTTCCCCTCTTACCTGCACCTCAAAGCAGTCAAAGTTTGTATACAATCAAATAAAAAGCCGTTCATTGTCTTTAGGGGGATATTTGGTCACAATGGCTTTCAAGAAAGAAGTTTTTATTAGGAGATGGAGTCACCGCAGTTTCCTATCTGAGTGCTCGGTGACACTCCTAGCTCGGTCCAGTTGAGAGGAGACGTGGCCCCGAGGCTTCCTCCCGTCTCTCCCTGACACTAATGGGAGAGGATGCTAGTTATCAATGCCATGCATAAGCTCAATGTGCACATATGAGCATCTCGTTCCTCACAGTGTCTTAACACGTCAGTTTCGTTGGTCGCGTGTGATAGAGTGCCCACCCCCGCCTGGCAGAACTTGGACCTCCGGGGAGATGTGGTTATCTATCTTGACGGGTTCTCGACTGCTTCCAGTAATCCCATCTGTGGAATAAACGCAGTTTTGTCCTAAGTACCTGGAGGAACTGGATAATGCACCACCCTCTAAGTGGTTTTTTTCTGTTCGATGGATGCTCTGTCTTTGTTTTCGATGAACACTATTTGTGATATTGTATTTTGGACTCATAGTCCCCAGCAGCTCTTTGGAGGGGCAAGAATCCAGGCCATCCAGAAGCTGCCCCTCGTCATCGGTGTCAGCATCGATATACTTGTGTACGTTGGCATCGTGAAAGGTGAACGCGATTGCCATGCGTTTCTCTGGTGACCTGGAAGGGGTTCTAGTGCTGGCCGTTGTGTACAGAGATGTCTCCGGACTACGGACTGACTGATCAGAAAAGAAGGAACCGTCTAACTTGGAATGGCTTTGCCTATGATCTGATGAGCTTGTGATGTTTGGTGCAGGCACCAGTGTCCTTGTGTCACCTTCTCGAAAGTTGACTTTGAGGGACCTCAGCAGCAACGGGTTCCTAACTTTCATTAAACTTTTTGGACTTTCCAAAATGTACGCAGTGTGACGATTTCTTTCAGTTTTAGGACTAATTTCACTAAAGCTTTCTCCACTGATGTCTAAGTTCAAGAATCTTTCAGGGCCGCCCACCGAATCCTGCCCCGTATTGATACCAGTTTTATATGGTAGGGCCGCCAGGGGACTGTGCGAGAACCTAATCACTTCCGGGAATTCTGCTGTGCAGCTAATGAAGCTGTCTATGCTGGACATACTTCTCATATCGATGATCCCCTCCTTATGTGTGGTCAACAGAGGGACAGCTGGGCAAGGGATGGTGGCCATCTCCAGCTCCTCTGTCTGTTTAACCAACTGATTGGCTTCTTTTGTGTTAAGAATAGGCTGAGACTGCGTCTTCGCCATTTTATTGTAAATATCCTCCAACTGTTGGACATTAAGGTTTTGGGGACTTGAGCAGGACCTGCTCTTCTCCGGAGAACCTTGTTCTTTTGTGTCGAAGGACTTGTTAGAACTCGTCTCTGATAGAGTCCTTTTCGTCCATTTCCATTTGGTGGGTGATAAGTGGTTATCCTGAAGTTTCTCTTTCCTTGTGTCTTCGGTCTTCTCAACCACTACGTCCATCAGCTCTATGCTGCGGGCGAAGGCATCTTTCATGTTCATGGACACAATGCTACCATTTCGTTTGGCTCTCTCGAGAGCTTCTCTGCGCTTGATGGCCTTTTCCTGCCTCTTTTGTTCCTTGTAGAACTCTGAAAAGTTATTGACAATGATGGGAATGGGAAGAGCGATCACCAGCACTCCCGCAATACAACACAACCCGCCGACAATTTTCCCCAGCAAGGTTTTAGGGTAGATGTCCCCGTAGCCCACCGTGGTCATGGTAATGGTCGCCCACCAAAAAGAGGCCGGAATGCTTTTGAATTTTGTATCATCTTCGTCCTTTTCGGCAAAGAACACCAGGCTGGAGAAAATCATGATACCCATAGCCAAGAAGAGGATGAGCAGGCCAAGTTCGTTGTAACTCCTCCGTAAGGTGAAACCCAAAGACTGCAGTCCGGTGGAGTGCCGCGCCAGCTTCAGGATCCGCAGTATCCTCATGATGCGGAAAATCTGCACCACCCTCCGGACGTTCTGGAACTGAAGTACACTTTTGTTGGACTCTGTTAGGAATATGGTGACGTAATATGGGAGGATGGCTAACAGGTCAATGACATTAAGTGGCCCCTTAAAAAATTTCCATTTGTTGGGTGAAGATAAGAATCTCAGGAGGTATTCCATGGTGAACCAGGCGATGCAGACGGCTTCCACGTGCGCCAGCTGAGGGTTGTCGGTTGACTGTCCGAATTCATCGAGACCTTGTAGTTCCGGAAGTGTATTCAGTGACAAGGCAATTGTTGATAATACAATGAAGAGAATGGAAATGATCGCCAGGATCTGCCGAAAGAGAAACAGGAAATTGTGTTAGTTCGGCACACAGACCATTCATTTCATTGCAAAGCAGAGATGTACAACGTCAGTCCTCCCCCAATATAGGGGAGTAGAGGAGGTCATAGATGGGAAGAGCTCCACCAATAACCACGGCCGGTCATGTGACCGACCCAACACCGTATATGATGATGGAAGGTCGGCTCCCTTTTCTCACTGGCTGTCCAAAGATCTCTGAGCAACCCATGTGACTGTCATACCCCCAACCGAGACACACTCTATACACTGTGCTGTATCTGGCATCCTCCTGACCCCTGCACTCTATACACTGTGCTGTATCTGGCATCATCCTGACCCCTGCACTCTATACACTGTGCTGTACATGACATAGTCCTGACCCCCGCACTCTATACACTGTGCTGTATCTGGCATCCTCCTGACCCCGCACTCTATACACTGTGCTGTATCTGGCATCCTCCTGACCCCGCACTCTATACACTGTGCTGTATCTGGCATCATCCTGACCCCCGCACTCTACACACTGTGCTGTATCTGGCATCATCCTGACCCCCGCACTCTATACACTGTGCTGTATCTGGCATCCCCCTGACCCCTGCACTCTACACACTGTGCTGTATCTGGCATCATCCTGACCCCCGCACTCTACACACTGTGCTGTATCTGGCATAATCCTGACCCCTGCACTCTATACACTGTGCTGTATCTGGCATCATCCTGACCCCTGCACTCTATACACTGTGCTGTATCTGGCATCATCCTGACCCCTGCACTCTATACACTGTGCTGTATCTGGCATCATCCTGACCCCCGCACTCTATACACTGTGCTGTATATGACATAGTCCTGACCCCCGCACTCTATACACAGTGCTGTATATGACATAGTCCTGACCCCCGCACTCTATACACTGTGCTGTATGTGGCATCATCCTGACCCCTGCACTCTATACACTGTGCTGTATCTGGCATCATCCTGACCCCTGCACTCTATACACTGTGCTGTATATGACATAGTCCTGACCCCCACACTCTATACACTGTGCTGTATCTGGCATCATCCTGACCCCTGCACTCTATACACTGTGCTGTATATGACATAGTCCTGACCCCTGCACTCTATAGTCACCATTCCTGGTTATACATGGGGGGAAGGGATGACAACGTTGTCACCTGCATAGACATTTGTTGGATGGGGGTGGTGGGTGCACTTTACTGCACTGCTGTCAATTTCCTGCATTACTTTAATGACTCCACGGGGAGTCCTTATCTAAGTCTGTGTACCGATTCTCAGCGCCGAGAGTCATCACCACTGACCTGGCCCTATGACGATGATGACATATCACCTTCTGTATGAACCTGAAGACATGGCGGACTATCTTCCATACACCCTGTTCATTCTGTTCTCCTTCCTCAGAGAGTGTGCTGGGCTCCATGTCTTCCCCTATGCTGCCGCCCACCATGTTGGCCTGATGTGTATGGCAATGACAAATCTCGGGGGGTGTAGATGGTGTTCCTGGAAGTTGGGGTGACCACGTCATGATATATACAGCCACAATGGTGATGGTTGTCACCTATCGTCGTGACAGTCCCTGTGGATGCACAGTAATGATATTACCCTCCATTGCCCTTCCTCACCGGGGTTGACTTGCTGTGACCTGAGATCCTGATCGCGGGTCACAGTACGGAGACTGATCAGATTATCTCCTGTGCGTCACGGCTCTGTACTCACCTCCCATCACCCAATACGGTGTACAGGAGAGACGGCGCCTGCACTGGATCTACGGTCACATCACCCATCCCCCGGCATACAATATTTATCCTGGAGTTCAGCTTTAAGGACCTACGAGAATTGGTGAAGGCTTCTGGGACATCCGCTCGTTGATGCTCCTACTATCCATAGAGGTGGAGGATGACCCCTGACACCCCCCCCCCTCCCCCCCCGACCCCGTTGTCTCACCCCAGTCCTTGGCACCATGTGATGAGATTTCACATCTCTTCTGTCGAGTTGTCAAGATTTTCCGGATCTTCAGGAAATATTTCCGGTCGCTGATCACCTGACACGTGTGGATTCTATTACTGATCTGTCTGTAGGTTGTTATTGTCATCCTCCCGCCATAGGGAAGTCTGTGAAAGTAGGGAGGTGATGAGTACGGGAGAGGTGATGAGACCCGGAGAGGTGATGAGACCCGGAGAGGTGATGAGACCCGGAGAGGTGATGAGACCCCGGAGAGGTGATGAGACCCCGGAGAGGTGATGAGACCCCGGAGAGGTGATAAGTCCCAGAGAGGTGATGAGACCTAGGAGAGGCTGGCGAGGTGATGAGTCCTTGGAGAGGCTAGAGATGCTGGGGAGGTGATGAGACCCCGGAGAGGCTGGGGAGGTGATGAGTCCTTGGAGAGGCTGGGGAGGTGATGAGTCCTTGGGAAAGTGATGTGACCTAGGAGAGGTGATAAGACCCTGGAGAGGTGATGAATCCCGGAGAGGTGATGAGACCCTGGAGAGGTGATGAGTCCTTGGAGATGCTGGGGAGGTGATGAGACCTAGGAGAGGCTGGGGAGACCCCAGATAGGCAGTTATCAGTGTGATAATGTACATGGGGACCTACTGAGCCTCCTCCCCCCAACCCTGGATGAAAATATACTCTCTAGAGGTATGACCGATAAGGTTGGGAAAGATTAAGTGGCTGAGCGATGGAGTAGTGGGCTTTGGTGGGCATGGGGTAGTGTGACTGGTTGGGTAGGGAGCAGTAGGTTGGCTGGGTGGGCAGGGAGCGGTGGGGTTGGCTGGGTAGGAAGCATGTCTGGGTGGAGTGATATAAACCATAAGGAGGTCCCCAGCACCAGTGATGTGGTTTAGGGTGGTCCTCCTCTGCTCTGGTCCCTGGTAACGCTCCATTCTCTGGGTTTCCTCGCGGTGTTCCATGTGGAGTGCCGTCACCTCCCAGTCATCTCATAGAGGGAATGGATGGCCATTGTGCTCCCTCTGGAGGTCTCTATCGGTCGGCGGCAGTCCTCCATGGTGGAGCGCTGATACCACCGGGCTCATTGTCCGCCATTGTGCTCCCTCTGGAGGTCTCTATCGGTCGGCGGCAGTCCTCCATGGTGGAGCGCTGATACCGCCGGGCTCATTGTCCGCCATTGTGCTCCCTCTGGAGGTCTCTATCGGTCGGCGGCAGCCCTCCATGGTGGAGCGCTGATACTGCCGGGCTCATTGTCCGCCATTGTAGGAGCGGCAGGTGCAGATTGTGATTAGCAGCCATGATCCTCCATGAGAGATAACGGAACAATCCTTCCATTGTGATCCGCAGTCTCATCTGAAATCATTGCCATGGAAACCAGAGGACGCCATCTTTATGGCCAGTGTACATCCAACACATGCAGATGAGAAGCCGAGTGTGGTCGCCGTCCTCCACCGCTGTATCCCATAGCAACCGGCCTACAATCCGCTTCATTGGTTACAGGGATTCCCCGGATCCGGCACCATCTTCTTCCTCATGGTTGGCCGGTTGTGATGTCATCTCGCCAGAGTCACCTGAACACTTCCACCCCCCATATATACAATGCTAGGTGCCTGGCTGCCATGACCATCCTCCGGCTTCAATACTTCTGACTCATTGACCCAGATCAGGTATGTAGATCCAAACCTGCCGCATGTTTGATCCGGATCTGTAACCCGAAATGTTTTTCTTTAGTTCTGGATTGAGTGGGAAAGAGTCCCTGTCTGTCGGTGACCCCAATGGGGATATTTGTCCTCACTTCCTGTCCTGGCGACACCCCTATAAGAAACAAGGAAAAGGCTCCAACCCTTCCCGGCTCCATCCAACCCAATGAACGGTCTTGGCTGTAGTTCATCGGTGGTGCCGACATTTCATCGGCACCACCGCAGAAGTCGCCAACTGTGCAGAGTCAATAGTTACAGACCTCCAAACTCCATGCGGCCGTCAGATTGGCACAACAACAGTGCGTAGAGAGCTTCATGGAACGGGTTTCCATGGCCGAGCAGCTGCATCCAAGCCGCACATCACCAAGTGCAATGCAAAGTGTGGGATGCCGCGGTGTAACGCACGCCGCCACTGGACTCTAGAGAAGTGGAGGCGTGGTCTCTGGAGGGACCAATCACGCTTCTCTGTCTGGCGATGGGCGTGTCTGGGTTTGGCGGTTGCCGGGAGAACGGTACTTGCCTGACTGCATTGTGCCAAGTGTAAAGTTTGGGGGCGGGTTTTCGGGGGTTGGGCTCCGCCCCTTAGTTCCAGTGAAGGGAACTCTTAAGGCATCAGCACACCAAGACATTCTGGACAATTTCATGCTCCCAACTTTGTGGGAGGAGTTTGGGGACGGCCCCTCCCTGTTCCAACATGACTGCGCACCAGTGCACAAAGCAAGGTCCATAAAGACATGGATGGGGGAGTTTGGGGGGGAGGAACGTGACTGGCCGCACAGAGTCCTGACCTCAACCCCATAGAACACCTTTGGGATGAATTAGAGGCGGAGACTGCGAGCCCCTCCCCCAACATCAGTACCTGACCTCACAAATGGTCCAACATTCCCATAGACACACCCCTAAACCTTGTGGATGCCTTCCCAGAAGAGACGGAGCTACTATAGCGACAAAGGGCGGAGCCAACCCAATACTGAACCCTACGGACTAAGACTGGAATGCCATTAGAGGGTGGAGCCAACCCAATACTGAACCCTACGGACTAAGACTGGGATGCCATTAGAGGGCGGAGCCAACCCAATACTGAACCCTATGGACTAAGACTGGGATGCCATTAGAGTTCCTGTGCGTGTAAAGGCGTCCCGATACTTCTGGCAATATAGTGTATATATGGGGGGAGGGATGCATGTCGTAATTTGCTGAGCGCGGCGTTCTCGTAATTTGAATGTTATTCGCAGTGACGGCGGGCGGCCATGTGTCAGAGCGTATTAGGCAAAACTGTGATCGCCCCCCAACCTCCAGTGCATGGGGGGGAGGGGGGACTCTGCATCCCGCCGCCGCCGCCATTCATCTCCGTCTCTCATTCTATTTATAGATCAAAGCTTTGATATTTTTATCTTGCGAGGCCATCAATCCCCTCCACCCCCCCACCACCGACTGCGGTGATTTATACCATTGCCGGGACACCGCGATGTGGAAGCGTCCAATCACAGACTGAGCACCACTGTCTCCACTTCAGTCTTCTATCTGACCTCTGGCCAATCATAGAGGCTCAGAACCACATGTGGGCGATCTGCATGCAAATACAGCCTGCCTAGGACCGCCCACTCCTCCAGATTGACACCCAACCATTAAGGCATTTTGATATTTGCATAACTCCTCCTAAGAGCCGGCCCACTGCTTGCATTGGGGCTGAGGGGTCCTGAGAGGAGTACTGAGGCAGGGTGCTGTGATGTATTCAGGAAGCTATGCACAGCCCCCTGCCAGCCCCTCCCACCAGCCATGATCTGCCTGCATTGGAGGAGGAGAGCGTGGTGATAAGGTTAAGTCATTGTGGGGGTCTCATCACCCATTGTGGGGGTCTCATCACCCATGTTGGGGGCTCATCACCCATTGTTTGGGGCTCATCACCCATGTGGGGGTCTCATCGCCTATGTTGGGGAGCTCATCACCCATGTTGGGGGCTCATCACCCATGTGGGGGGCTCATCGCCTATGTTGGGGAGCTCATCACCCATGTGGGGGGCTCATCACCCATGTGGGGGGCTCATCGCCTATGTTGGGGAGCTCATCACCCATGTTGGGGGCTCATCACCCATGTGGGGGGCTCATCGCCTATGTTGGGGAGCTCATCACCCTTGTTGGGGGCTCATCACCCATGTGGGGGGCTCATCGCCTATGTTGGGGAGCTCATTACCCATGTTGGGGGCTCATCACCCATTGTTTGGGGCTCATCACCCATGTGGGGGGCTCATCACCCATTGTTGGGGGCTCATCACCCATTGTTGGGGGCTCATCACCCATTGTTTGGGGCTCATCACCCATGTGGGGGGCTCATCACCCATTGTTGGGGGCTCATCACCCATGTGGGGGTCTCATCACCCATTGTTGGGGGCTCATCACCCATTGTTGGGGGCTCATCACCCATGTGGGGGGCTCATCACCCATGTGGGGGGCTCATCACCCATTGTTGGGGGCTCATCACCCATGTGGGGGTCTCATCACCCATTGTTGGGGGCTCATCACCCATTGTTGGGGGCTCATCACCCATGTGGGGGGCTCATCACCCATGTGGGGGGCTCATCACCCATTGTTGGGGGCTCATCACCCATGTGGGGGGCTCATCGCCTATGTTGGGGAGCTCATCGCCTCCCCATGGGGGGCTCTCAGGGGTTAATGGTGTGGCGTATGGATGAAGGTGGATTCCGGTCAGGACTTTACAGACATTATAAATAATTGATCGTCTATCAGTAATTTATATTGTTTAGTTTTACAAGACGCTCAGCGGCGGTGTAATTAAAGCT